GCCCCTCTGCCGGCCCCTCTGCCGGCCCCTCTGCCAGCCCCTCTGCCAGCCCCTCTGCCGGCCCCTCTGCCAGCCCCTCTGCCGGCTCCTCTGCCAGCTCAGGCACTTCATGCGGCTGCTCCAGCCCCCTGCTCACTCCAAAGCCTTCATTTTGGTGTCAACTTTTTGCCCAAGATCAGAAGCCTGGTAAGACAAGAAATGCCTGGGCGATGGCAGACATGTTTGCAGTCTGTGACCCTCCATGCCCGGTCCCGGTCGAAGCTGCTTTCTCCCGGACAGTCCTGGTTCTCTCCAGACTAAGGCTGACCCAAAGCAAGGTTACTCCACCCAGTAAGGTAACTGCTGAAATCCAGCACAGGCAGCTAGTCCATGTGTGAAATCTAGCATGGCCCAGACTCCATCCTGGTCCAGAATGAACACAAGTCAACAGTCACTCAAAGCGGGCAGGCACCCTGGCTAGTGTTCAATACTCTGGCGAGTGGGAACTTGGTAGCTGAGGCCTGGGAGACCAGACGTCACCACTGCTTCCTTAACTGAAGAAGCTGGAACTGTGACCAGTTTTTGTACATATGAAGATTATATTTCCAGCGTTTTACGTTGCGGCCAAGCTTCCCGCACTTCCACTTGAGCACTTTGTACGTCGTCTTCTGTGATAGATTGACTGGGAATCCTGCTAGTACTCTTTATGACTTGTTTTGTACTGGGGGGCAGTTAATGGATACCAACAAAACTTTTATGGAGTTTTTTGGATTTTGTGTTGGCCTACTGTGAAATATAAATTTTTAAATCAAAAGAACTGACCATGAGCTGGCTTCAGGGGAAGTGACGCAAGACGACACCCAGATGTGCTGGTAAACTACTAAACCATCCCACCTCCGTACATCTCGAAACAGTGTCACTCTGTGACTATCCCAGAAATGTGTTCTTAGAACAGTGGGAGGTGATGCCAGGTCATAACCGCCACTCTGCTTTGGAAATGGGATTTATTGTGTCGCTGTCTTGTTAGCATGTACACCGTATTTTATACCTTAATGCTGCTATTCTTGATGGCATCTGCCAGGTATTAGAAAAGAGATTTTTTTCTTTAAAAAAAATCCTTTATTTTCTGATGACCTCATCAGGGAGGTTTCAAAATCCAAGTGTCATTACTGTCTAAAAAGCTACCATTTAAGCTCTACACAACCCGTGGAAATGCAAGCCCTAGTGGGCTGTATCCTCTGTCCTGGAAGACAGGAGTGGAAGAGGATGCAGCTGCCCCTTGGGACAAGCGTAGACTGCTGGGTGAGGCTGACTGGACAGTGGGTGACCTGGAAGCAGCTCAGAGTTCATCGTGAGTAGCAGCAGGAGCACCAAGCTCAAGCACAGAGCACTCTCAGCTTCCCGGTTCCCCGGCCGAAGCTGTCAGCCCTTGGTGGCATGTCTGTGAGGGACAGAACAAAGCTGTGGTTGTCACACAGCAGCTTTCCAGAGCGCTTGCCCTCTTGGAGGGATGGGCACAGTCTCCGGCAGCATCCACTGGGAGCAGAGGACCTGTCAGGGGTTCAGAGCCCTGAGGACCTGGCTTCTGGGAGCTGATGCTTCTCTGACACCACCTTGTAGGGAGCTTTTAAGTGTGGCCTGAGGAAAGGATAAGAATACAGTTAGGCCCTTTACTCTGTGCACCCCACACCTGTCATAACTGTGAGACATCGGCTTGCCGATGGCAGAGGAGACAACAGAGGGTCCTGAAAAGGCAGAGGAAGGCAGAGTGGATGGACACCATGGAGTGCAGGCCTGAACTGACACCCACAGGCAGGTGGCTTAGTGGGCTGGAGAAGTGTAGCTGGCCTGTGAGCAAGGGACAGGCCTCATTCTTGCCTCAAGAAGAGCCAGTGACAGCAGCAGTCCTGCCCTGAGGTCCAGCAGCAGCTGAAGTGGATGAGGGAAGGCAGGGCAGTGGGGCAGGACAGACAGACTCTGTCCATCTCCCAAACACACCCGGCCTGGGCTGTGGTTCTGACATCACAGGAGAAGCAGCACCTGAACCAAGAGCTTCAGGGACGGTGTGGACACAAGGTTTGAGGCAAGGTGAGAGGACACCAAGCAGCACATCCAAGTCACAGCTCAGTGTGGCACCGTGTGAGTGGTGACCCAGGGACAAGGGAGCCCTGGACGGGCTGAGCATCAGGTGATTGGTGCCACAGAGTGACATGACACTGTCTGGAGGGGACAGTCTGCCCACACTTGTGTAGAGGCAGCTGGGGAAAGCTGGAAGCCAGCCCGGGCCAAGATGGCAGGCAGAGCAATGAGGAAGAAATGGTAGGAGCTGCCGAGCACACAGGAGCCAATGGCAGGACCCTTCCCGGACAGAGACAACTGTCCTGGGATCAGACGGGGTCGTAAGCCAGGCCTGGCGCACGCCTTTATCTTAGCACTGGGTTCAAGGCCAGCCTGATCCTACATAGAGAGTTTCAGGACAGCCAAGGGTACAGAGATAGACCCTGTTTCCAAACACAGAACAAGGAGTTGGTGACTGTCAGGAGTCAGCAGGGAGGTCACCTCTTCATGGAGACCTCACGCTGTCACCACAGCACAAGCTACTGATTAGGCCCACGTATGGCTGATGCAGAAAGCCACTGAGTAGACAGGACAATGAGCATGCCTGTCCCAAGCAAGCAGGGTAAGTGGTGTTAGCAGAAGGAAGCCCAGGAGATCTCATCAAAGCCTCGGAGCACAAGCTCCACCTCGGGATCCAAACAGGGTCTGAGAACCAATCTGTCTCCACTATCTAAATTTCTTTTGAGACAGTCTCCCAATGTAGCCCAGGTTAACCTTGAACACTCAACCCTCCTGCCTTGGTATTCTGAGTGCTGGGATTACAGCAGCCCCTTGAGAACCTGCATTTTTAAAAGAATATTTGGGTGGTGGCACTAGCCAGGGAACTGTGCCGAGCGAGCACACAGCCATCCTGAGGCAGAGGTGGGCCGGGTGGGGGTAGA